ATATTTATTTTTGTTTCTTAATTTTCCAATTGTTAATTCCAGTGGCAAAACAGCCTTAAAATGAGGCAGTGGAGAAGTGCTTAGTTCCGATGCAAGATGTATAGATGGCTTTTTATGTTGTCGATAGTTTAGTTTTGATTATATTAACTAAGTTATTAAATCTAATTACTTTTAAGCTCAACATGATAGCATAGTTGATGATTTTTTTCCTGGTTCAAATTTTCAATCTACTGGTATTAGCTGATTCAATTCATTTGGAAAATTATTCAATAGTAAAGTTATTTCCTTTTTTTTGTGTGTAGTATACTTAATAATGTTCCAGTATAATAGAATTTCAATCATACGATAAATCAAACGTTTGTTTATATTCTTACAACATCAAAACAATGCAATTTGTTGTCCCGAGCATCGCACGGGTACAATTACTAGTGAAATATAAAGAGTTATGTTTTTGAAGAAAAAGAAAAGCAGTACAAATATTCTATAATTCACATGATCATCTAAGTCTTTGCATGTTTGTGTGTCTACTCTGACTTTGTCTAAATATACTATACAAATCCACTCAACTTATATTTTTGATTCTAAAACAAACTTTGTCTTATTTTTTGTTGGCTTCTTTTTAGGCTCCTTCAACCCTACACTGATGATAAATATCGGGTGGGTCTTCTGCTGTTACGTGTCTTTTTTTTTTTTTTTTTAATCTAAAATCCCTAAATGTAAATCCAAATGGGGGAATATATTATAAATAATTAAATATTTCACGTGCCAACAGAAGATCCACCCGATGTTTATCACCGAGTGTAGGGTCGACATAATACCGGTTCACGGTTCATACCGGTTCACGGTTCATACCGGCCCGTAATATGCACGGTTCGGCGGGCCGAGTGTAGGGTCGACGAAGTCTTCTTTTTAGAATAATGGATCCATTATTTGTCTTTTCCAATTTTTATTGACAGCCAATAAACAAAAAAGAAACGTTTAAATAGTTCTAAATATTAACTAATTAATGCATTATAATTACACCAGTTCATAAAACTCTTAAACTAGTTTCTTAAGTTATATAATCAATAATTTTGATTAAATAAGTATGGTACTATAGTAAATAACAGAACAAAGCACTAGCATTTAAATATTGACATCATTAAGACAAATAAAAGAAGAATCACTATAATCTAGTTGTGCCATAAAACCTCAAGAGTTTGGATTACTGTAAGAGGAATTTCAAACAAATTAAAATGAATCGAAATAATAAAAATAGTCGATTTCAAAAGACGCGAACGACATTGATATATTATAATGTTCCGAAACACAAATATTTACAAATATATTTTAAAGATATGTATGTTGCGTTCGACATATAATTCATAGTTCAAATAAAAACTCTCCTAATAATTAATTAGTTCTATCAAAATTTGATCAAGCAAACCAGCCTGAGGTGAGTGGATTAACTATTATTTATTCTCAATAAAAAAGATTAAATCTATATCTCGAGTAATTAACCACCACTACTTTTTTAGCGTGGGTACCGTTTCGACTTTCTCCGCCTGCCAAGAAGTTTGAGCATATTGTCGGTTACATCAGGGGTAGAATTGTCATCTTCATCTAGATGATGATTATTCTCAGACGTGCGAGTCAACCAGGCCAATGCTTCTATAGCAGCATCTTTCTCAGCTAGGGTTTTATTTTTCTTCGGTTTTCCCACAAACTGCATGCCTTTAAATTCGGCCAATGCCCTAAATTCGTTTGTTTTAAGATGCTTCGTTTTGTATTTGGGAGGCGAGTGACCTGCTCGCATTAAGAGTGTCTGAAGTAAGCTCTTAGGGTTAGTTCCATCTTTTGTAAACCTGTCTTTATCGGTATTAGAATCTCTCGGTTTTTTGCTTTCTCGGCCAAAAACGAATCTCCCTTCGCATTGATCACCCGAAACAAGTTCTTGGACGCCTAACATTAGGTATTTGCCTTCCTTGTGGATGTCCATGTTTGGATGTTGAAGCTGCAGTTTTCCATATTCATATATGTCAATCATGATAAATGACGGAAATTTTTGTTGGAATCTTTTTTTTTCTTTATAAACGACCTATATGGAATTTTTTTGATTTTTTCGGAAGTACAAAACCACTTCCAATTCCAATTCCATAAATTTTAGAATCTAGAAATCCGTTACAATTCCAGAAGCTTTGTGAATTTCCGGATTTTGGAAATTTTGGAAATTTCAGAAAACCCATTGGAAATTGGTTTTTGGGGCAAAATGCAACCAAAACAATATTCCGAAGGGGGCCCTCCTCTCTTTTTTGAACTTTTAGGGGGGAAAGTGAGAAAATAAGAAATTTCAAGGGGGTGGAGTGCAATTTGTCCTATACATAATATAAATATAGTAGCAAAATAAATAAATAATTTCAGAATTTTTCGGAAATTAAAATCGGATCGGAAGTTCCAAAAGTTTTACATATAATTCCAATTCAAAAAAAATATTGGGAAAATTTGAAATAGAATTTTGGAAATCGGATTAAAAAAAAAGGTCATGAAAAATTGGAAATTCCGTTCCGAATTTCACCCCTAGGTGGGGGGGGGGGGGGGGGGGGCCTTTTCCCAAAATGGTTTAAGCCAAAAAAAATAAGGGGGGGACCCCCATTAAAACCGTTCGTGGGGGTTGTTTTTTAAAAAAAAGGAAAGGAATTTTTCTGGAGGAAAAAAGGGGGGATTTTCCCTTTTTTGGAAAAACTTTTAAAGGCCCCCCTTGGGGTTCCAAAAAAACCCTGCCAAAATCGGGGCCCTGAAAAAAACCAAATATCCCTCCCAACATTTTTATATTTCCAGCCTGAAAACGAACCAAAAAATAGAAGATACATAAAATAAACCTAAAACTCGATAGTAAGAAGATAAAATTCCACGAGGAAATTTGTGGATTAAGGAAGTTAGGTACCATAGCAGCAGCATAGTCAAGTTTACCGCCAAAGAGGATCAAAATGGAATCAGATACGCCAGTCGAGTCGCGTATGAACACGGTATTGACTTTCACCTTCTCGCCAAATACCAACCAAGGGTATTGTATTGTTTGGTAACGTGCATTCACTGAATTCTGTAACCAAAAATTACGATTCAAAGGCCTCAGGTTATTTCATTTTGTCATAATCGAAAAATCTTCAGTAACATCACAAGAAACATCTCGTGTTTATAATCCAATGATTGGATAACAGAAAAACATACCGCATATAGCATGACTTGCCCATCGTCCATTGTTTTGAAAGACATTGAAGTTTCCCTATGCTGCAAATAAAACGAAAATACTCACAAATCCCGTTTCATTAATTTCCCGTTCAGAAAAAAAAATAATAAAAAATAAAAAATAAAAAAGAAAAATCGCTCACCACTACAGAAGCGATACCGGGAAATAGACCGGAACATATAACGGCACGAACCAACGGTTGATTGTGACTTAATTTATTATGGGTAGCTCCATCCATGTCTAGCAATCCACCATCTCTCAAAATGTAGGTAAACTGCTTACGGAGAGAATGGATAGCCTGAAGAGTTTGTAGAGAGAGAAAATTTCTCCAGCAATATTCATACGCAGATCCTTCTCTCTCTGCATCTTTCCATCCTTCGTACGCACGCACAAGAGCCATGTGATCGCTGTAGTCCTTTGCCGAGAATCTCGACTTGGCTGTCCCAGCTAACTGCATACATCAATGAGAAAGCTAAGTCGGAAGTTATACAGACTGTTAATATCTGATGACAAAGAGTAGCTCTTAATTTCACCATTTAAGGGGATCAAGACCATAATTTCTTAAGCCTCGTTTGGTTGGTAAGATAAGACATGATTAATTCAATAATTTAGGTCATAGTTGATGTTTGGTTAGTACAATAACTTCACGGGCCGGCCCGCAACTATGGAAAAATGAGTTGTTATCTTGGCTTATTGGAGGATTGTGTATGGGAAAAAATGAGCTCCTATCTTGGGAACCAAACAATGCCTGGGGCCTCGTTTGGTTCCTATAGATCAGACAAGATAAGATTAAATAATCTAACGGAACCCCATATGTATTATTGGACCAGATAAGTAAATCGTCTATTATCACCAAATGATTGACTCTTCAATGCAAAGCTATATGACCGAGAGATTCTAGAAATAGGACCTACATAAAATACGTCATTTATTGACAAGAAAGAAATAAGAAGAATTAATTAACTCACGTCCTTTTTATCTTGGGGCAAAAGAAAAGGATCCCTGACACTGAGACCAGCCACAATAGTCAAGATAGGGTCAAAGCAACGAAAAATAGCACCCATGATTAGCATTTTCCCCAGCTTAGGATCCACTGGAAGCACGGATAAAAACTTTCCTGATTGAAATGAAAAATTGAGTTAACATATCAACGTTCAAAAATTGTAATAATTATCAAGGGACGCTAATGTTACCAAGATATGTAAGATTCTCATGTTCATCTAATGCACCAATCATCTTCAAAAAATCAACGGCATTTTGCACCTGACAAATTTAGCGTCGATTTAATTTCTACATCTTATACTGTTAATATAATATTTGTTTAGACCGCAAGAAAAGCAGTTGCTTACAGCCAATGGTTCAGGGGGCTGAAGAGCAGCAGAGAGAAAATCTCCAATACTTCCGACTTGTAAGCTTTTGATTTGCAAACAGAGAGAGTTTAACGGAGTTCTTAAAAGCTCGGGAAGTTGATATTCAGCAAAAGCTTCATAAACACATTGCGGATATAAATGGTAGCACTCCCCTGGCTGCACACGCCCCGCCCTACCCCTCCTCTGCAAGTCAACGTAGTCATTAAGTAAACGGAGGACAAGTTGCTTAATTACGGTTAAAAATGACAAACAAATGCAAGAAATCAAAGCATATATATATATACTGCAGACAGATAAATGCAAAAATAATTAATGCTCGTTAAAATTTCATCAGATGTGCAACGTTTTTCCTTAAACTGTATTAAGAAGATAAGAAAAAGAAACCAGAAAGATAAACTCACTTGCCGAGCAGAAGCTTGGGATATCCATGAAGGTAACAAACATGGTGTGTTGTTTAGAGCATCGTAAGTGGTTTCCTTTGCTTTTCCGCAGTCAACAACAAAAACTACGTCGTTGATTGTAATACTTGCCTCGGCCATATTTGTGGCAAGTATTATTTTGCGAACATTAGGAGGTGGTTTCTCAAATATGAGTTTCTACAAGGAAAAACGAAAAATTCAGATGGTCAATCAAGTAATTTCAATCGGGAAAAATCAAAATCAAAATGCACTAGGAACAGAGAAATAAGGCTGATAGCTTAGGAGTAGCTCTACTGAAAAGAAACTCTGGCATATCAAAGTTATTGTTATTGAAATGAGAACAAAACAATATTTAACTTGGAAAAACGAAAGAACTGAAATAAATATTAGCAAGATAAGAACTTCACCACCATGGGAAATGTATCATATTTGGACAATGGAGGCGATTAAAAGCAATAATGAAATACAACGTTTACGAAATCCTGAAAATATTTTACCTGTTCAGCGGTTGCCATCGAGCCATGGCATGTAAGCAGAAGAACCCTATTAGGGTCCCCTAAAAGAGGGTGAGCTTTTATTTGATCCCTCAAGCAACTAATATCCTCCCATCCAGTCATAAATACTAACACAGCACCGGGTCGTTCTTTGCGACATATGTGGCATAATACAGCCTCGAGTAGGTTGAATCCAATAGAATCAGGTGTCCAACAAGTCAACGACTCGTGTACCTTAGAGCTATAATTCTCCAAATTTGATTTACTCAGAGCTTCCTGTCCACAGAATGAATAGAAGATCTTATTACGTAAAATCTACTGAGAAGGTACTGTACGCAATAACCAATCATAAGTCATAGAGTTAAGAAAATGCAAGTAAGAACATTTACATTGAAGAATAGGGATCTGTTTGCATGTATCAAGTCAAATGTTATGTTATACAGATTTGGCACGATTTTTGCATTATTTTTGCAAAGAACATGAATTCTACATATTTATAAATCGAGCCCATAAACAAAACTACCAATAGTATGAGTTTCAAAGGAAATTATCAAGATAGAGCACACTAGTTTAAATACAATTTCCAACCTCAACAAGAGTAGTGATTTGATTCTTTCTTTTCCGCGGTGCTAGTTGCTTCTGTGTTTTCCACAACTTCTCTTGGCCATAATCATCTATTTGATTAAATGAAGTCAATTTATATCCGGTCATTTCCAGAATATCTTCTAGAAAATGGGCTCTTACGGGATACGTGAAGCCCTGAATCCACATAAAAAACAACTTCAGATAGTACTTAATGCAAGGAAAATTAAGGCCTCTCAAGCGAAGATATAAAGATAAAACATAATTAAACCAAACATCATAAAGTACCAACGAATACATCAAAAAACAAGTTCAACAAATCAAGCTTTATGAAAGCCAAGACTGATCAGAGGCATTCAGAAAATAGAGTTTGCTATTCAAGAAAAAAGAAAAATGAAAACTACTTAAAACAAACAGAGATGACAAGAACAAGAGAAGTAGGTACAACAAAATTTAGAACACGAAGCAATCTCAACTAGAGCTAGAACTAGATCACAAATACTTCCTCTCAATTTTTGGATTATTTTGAAAATTGCATCAAACAATGCAAATTCTTGAAAAAAAAATTGACATGATAAGCTCTTACAATTTTAGGGTATTGCAAAATTTAACTTACAGGAATGTGAATCATTGGTGCTCCAGAAAAATAATTAGAAAACAAATCAGCATTCAGAGTGGCACTCATCAAGATCAATCTCAAATCCCGCCGACGTGGAAGAAGATCCTTCAAGACAATCAACAAGAAGTCTGGTAAAGGAAGGGATAGCATGTCAAGAATCAAATATAACAAATATAAAAACATCGAAATACGAGGAAAACCAAATATATGTACACACATGTATTCACCTTCATTCATGCCCCGCTCGTGAATTTCATCAACAAAAACATGAGTGACACCATTCAGGTTTCTATCACTCAACAGCCTACGGAGCAAAATTCCACTTGTGCAGAAAAGCAAATGTGTGTTCTTGCCTTTCATTCCCTCCAATCGTACTTTATATCCAATCTGTCAAAAAAAAAAAAAGATGTTGAAGGGCATTCCACTTAACTCAAAAGTAATTGACCACTCAAAGTTGAAAACGAAACAACTAAAAAGGAGAAGGCAGAAAGTGGGCCTACTGATTCACCAAGAGGCTCACCCCTCTCTGCAGAAACTCTTTCTGCAACAGACATGGCGGATATTCTTCGAGGCTGCGTACAGATTATGTTACAAAATGCTCCCCGACCAGATTCTATTTCAGACTCCAAAATATATTGGGGAAGTTGAGTGGTTTTACCACATCCAGTCTCCCCAGAAATCACCACAACCTATTGTTTACGAGGAAAATAAGGAACATATTTAATGCAATAACCTGATAAAGTTACAGAAAAGAAGACATGCGCAGATAGTTGAAGCAAGAACCAGTGGTGGAAAAAGTTTAACAATATTTGGGCGCCTAGCAGGTTAAAATAATAAAGCATCTTATCCTGAGAAAACAGAATATTTGTTCCAGACTTCCAGTATATCATCCTCTACCTCGAGACAGGAAAACAAAAACCCCAATATGGAAACCATTTCAAGCTTGCCAGGAAAGGGATTCGGCGATGTTTAAAGACAGTAAACAAGGGCATGAAAAAAAGTGCTACCACAGCAAACCTGACTTTATTCCTCATGCAAGGAGACCCTGGCAATTTACTTAGTCAAAGTCAGTCTCTACTTTCTACAGCAAACTTAACCCCCGAGCACTCACTATGGAAAAACATCTTGAAGGAATAGTAAAATGCAGGATTATGATTAGGCAGATTACAAGAAAAGGAACAGCTGCTTAGAGATTACTCCACCAATCTCACCAACGATTGCAATTTCAAACACGTGTTTCTAAAATTCGGCTTCTCCAGAAATATGCCTCAATGAAAACAATTACTTCTTGGATGAGGATAATTACTCCTTCGCATATTCGCATTTTATTCTCTTGACTTGTACAGTCCCTCAACAAACCAGCAGCAGAGAGAAGAGGACTTGCTGAATATGATAGATTTAAAAATACATAATTCATTGCCAGTTTGGCAGACAGCCAGACACTCGCTCTAACTTAATCATGGGTTTTTGACACAGTGATCTAACTTGTTGCTATATAGATGAAAAATGGAGGTAAAAATTGGTTCCAGAACTGAACCTGGTTCCTCGCAATTGCTTGAAGGAGCCTTTCCTTCTCCCTGGATGAAGGGAGAGACCTCCTAAAATCGAGCAACCTCCTCCCTTCAGGTGATTCCTGTATTAATAGCAACACAACCAAGCCCCACAATCTCCAATTTGTAAGAATCAATTAGAAAGTAAAATTCAACTCAAGTAACAAAATAGATACTACAATGCTTATCAATTATGTATAAACATAGTATTATTTAGTCCACCACTTCAACAAGAGGAGAAATCCATATTCCTTTGACTAGTGAACCTAAATGAACATGCCAATAACATCTAGATTTGAGAATAGAAGTCAGTTTGTGCACTGGATGCAAATTAATCCCATCAACCAAGCGGGACACATGTATGATGCACAAATCTCACATTCAAATCGAATGCATACCTGCCAAGTTCTCTGCATGTTACGCATACGCAAGCTCCGCCTCTGCAGAACTTTCTCCATGACAGAACCATCAAGGAAAGAATCTGCATCTTCGACACTATCTACATTCTGAAGCTGATTGGTGCTCTCTGTTTCGCTTAAAGTGTCTCCTCCTTTTTCAGCATTCAGGACTGTTCTATCAAGATGTTCCTGGAGCAAACCCTCCACCCTTCTTTGCAAGCTCAGCGGAATTACAACCTAAAACAAGCAAGAGCACAAGTGTTTGGATACTGTAAAACTAAATAGAATTCCTGCCGAAAACCTATATTCCTATTTTTCCCCTGTTCAAAAACTTGGTTGTGAATCAACATAACAGAGACGTTTAAATTTTATTAAAACAAAAAAGAAAGCATCTTGACTCGATGTATTTTCTCACCTCCCTTTGAGGCCGCTTATCATCCAGGTCAGGTCTGTAGTTGGGGAGAGGAACTTTGCTAGCAACGACAACTTTCCCATATATTTCACTGAAAATTCACAACATTTCAGTAATATTGCCCGATAAAAACAAATACCAAGAAGGATAAATCTGAAGTAAATTTCTGTACCAGTGGAGCCCCATCCGTTTGGCTAGGCCGGATATCTGTTCAAAGTCTCTCCGGTCCCTTTTATCTTTAGACACTATTTCTTGATCCTTATCATTTCGTAACAACATGCTAAGTTTCCATTTCCACTCATCGATATTCGCAACAGATGATGAGGCCTACATGAGAACACGTTCAGCACAACTGCTTCTCTATTTTGATTACTATCCAAGTAGAAGATGACGAAGCGTAAAAGACATTGATAAATAGGTGCATACATCTAAATATGTCAGTGCCTATCGCAAAACTGACGAAATACTCGGAAATAGGTGCATATATGAAAATGTATATCTTTCTCATTTACACAAACAACCATCCATTCCAATCTTCTATGAAAAATTGTTATATGTTTTTCCCCAATAGCATAATCGATAATTCCCTTTTCACAATGGTAGTATAGAATTGTCTTCCAACTATAACAATTTCACAAACTTTTCTAAATCATAAGTAAACCAAATAATTCAGAATATAAGTAGTAAATAAAGAAACACGCACGCGCATTTAATCAAACACATTGAGAACAATTACAAAAACAAAAAAAAGGGAACTTTAGAATGAATCACCGGATTGTTCTCGTAATCGCATTCATACTCGTCGTCGGAGAATTTCTCGACGGCGTAGCTACAGAACCCACGTCGAACTACAGCAGAGTAATAAGTGAAATCCTGCGGCTGAAAACAACGAGTATTTTGGACAGCGTTAGCAGTACTAGTAGAGCTGCCGCTAATTACAATCCTCGGCTTCGAGAAAACTGAATAGGAGGAGAGAACGCCGTGTTTTCTGGCGGCGCGTGTAAGAAAAACTCTTAGCCGGGAATGCATTGTGGGTGAGAAGGGGACTGGACCATGGCGGGTTTTCCCTTCTGTTTATTTTCCTTTTCTTTTTTTCTTACTGGGTTTGGAAATGCTTAAATGGCTAAAGAAATGTAACATTAATTACGGTTATACCCTTTTGCTATTGCCTTATTTTAAGGACTTTTTTTTAGAGTTAAATGCAAAAAACCCCGTGTTAATCCTAAAGACCAAAAACCCCCGATAAAAAAAAAGTGACAAAAACCCCTTGATAAGTGTTCAAACAAGCATACTCGACCCATTTTTATTTTATTCGTTGACCGATTGTGAAAAGACGAATAAACCCTCGGATAAATCTGTCCTGCCTCTAAAATTTTATAACCCAAATGAAGTTTTTTTGAAATTTTCAATTCAGTCCCTAATACTTTCAATTAAGCCCTCTTCCCAAATGAAAAAAACACAGAGACACACAAATACACACACTGTGATTTTAATTCTCTGGGCACATCACCTCACCCCAACTAGACATGACCATGGGCCGGTTTTGGGCCCGGAACCGGCCCGAACCGGCCCGTTGACCGGGTGAACCGGCCCAGACCCGTGAACCGGCCCGTCCTACCCGGGACGGGCCCGGTTCTAAGAAATGATGAATCGTGAACCGCCGGGCTGACCCGCGGTTCACCCGAATTTAAAAAAAAAAATCAAAAAAATTCAAAAAAAAAAAAGGCAAATAACGGCTAGTGAACCGGGTGGCCTGCGGGTTCTCTTCATTTGCTACTATGGGCTCTCCTATAACCGGAAGTCCGGTAATAAAATAAATATCTTCTAATCCAAAAAAAAACTTACTATTACATATCTTAAAACAAGATTCTTCCTCATCATAATTTTTGATGAGAAACGTAGTTAAAGAATTGTCTGCTCTAACAGGTAACATACTTCGGTCCCCAATAAGTAAATTGGCACATTTATAAAGGCAAGTATGACGTATCTTATCTATCACCCGCGCAGGTGGTTGCCATCTGTGCAAAACTTCTATGTGGTTCATAGCCTTGATAGTACAACGATTGTCTTCAACCACAACGTTTTTAGATTTGCGTTTAGGCTATAAATAGAAATATTAATTTTATGTGAGAATACTAAACAATTAAAGATAATAAGTTTGAAGATGTTAATTAATGAATGGAGAAGGCGTACCATATTTATATACTGAACGAAGAACAATGAAGGTAAATTCTCCTGCTGCAACCTTTGCCTCTTACTTTCGACTTCTGTAAAACAAGGAGTTCGGTAAGGCTAATGATCGAATCATATTCAACTAGCAGTCCTTTGTTTTCAATTATTTTTCAATTATTAACATTATTTACCAGATTTCAGGCCAGATTTCTCACCGTTAAGGGTCAGAAGTGCTGATCAATTTTGTTTACACTGGCCGTCGGGAAGAGATTACCACTACAAAGGGAACGAAAACACTAGCAAAATAGTAGAAATAGTTAGAAGAGTAAATGCACAGCGATTTCTGTCTATTTCCCACAATTGGACAGAAATTTGACTTCCACAATCACCATTATAGCTTACCCGTGCTTAATTAAGACAATAACGTTATTTACTTTTTTTTGAATTTTGTTTCCCCCCAAAATCATTTATTTCCTTTAAAATTCGAAATTTTTAAAATTTTGAATTTAAAATTAAGTTCAAGTCTTTTCATTTATTTCCTTTTCCTTTTTCTATTTAAAATTACTTCTTTTAATTTACTTATTCATCAAATATTTAAAAAAAAAAAAATCAAAATTTCCGGGCCGACCCGGAACCGGCCCAGATAGGCCCGGCCCGCTGAACCTTCCATACTACGGGCCGGTTCCGAAAATGTGAACCGTGAACCGGTTTGAACCGGCCCGGAACCGGTCCGAACCGGCCCGTGGCCGTGTCTAACCCCAACCCTCCCCACCACCGCCGTCGCCGGCTCCGTTCGTGGATTGAAACCCCTCTCTGGCAATTGCTTCTCAACTCCTATCAACAACGAATTTCCTCTCAAATCAAAATTTCTTACAAAATTATTCCAAGAAAAAAAAATCCAAAGTCATGATCCACAATTTTAACACCATTACACGTCGTCCGGCAACAATAAACCTTCTTCTCTCCTCAACAAAACAATCACTACATTCCAGATTTCTCAACCCATTTTCTCGGGGCCACCCAGTTCTTCGATTTTCCCAAAAAATGAAGTATGCCTCCAGTTATGCATTCCAATTTTGCCATTGTCGTGGTTATGGTACTAAATTTTTTGAGGTTTCCAGCGAACCGGCGGCCTTGGCAGGATGGGAGATGGTGGGGGTGGGGTAGACCTGACCAGCGGTTCAGTTAGAACCGGAACCGGAACCGGAACCGAACCGGGGTCAACGGTTTTAGAACCGAACCGGAACCGGTTTGACAGGAACCGAAACCGGAACCGAAAAAACCGGTTCGGTTCTGGATCCTCATATTTGGAACCGGGAACCGACGGTTAGAACCGCGGTTCTAACCGTTTGAACCGGTTTATATAAAAAAAAACAAAAAAAAAATTAATTTTCTCTCTCTCTCTCTCTCTCTCTCTCTCTCTCTCTCTCTCTCTCTCTCTCTCTCTCTCTCTCTCTCTCTCTCTCTCTCTCTCTCTCTCTCTCTCTCTCTCTCTCTCTCTCTCTCTCTCTCTCTCTCTCTCTCTCTCTCTCTCTCTCTCTCTCTCTCTCTCTCTCTCTATATATATATATATATATATATATATATATATATATGTCCGTGTATATATATCTATATATATCTCTCTCTGTATATATATTTATATATATATATATATATATATATATAATAAAAAAATAAAGTATTATTAAGAACCGGCGGTTCTACCGGTTCTAACCAGGAACCGAACCGGCACCGGTTAGGAACAGAACCGCAAGGAACTGGATTTTTTCGGTTCGGTTCCGATTCCTCCAAAATCGGAACCGGAACCGGAACCGAACCGAACCGAACCGTGGTCAGGTCTAGGGTGGGGCATATTGGAGGAAGAACATGATGAGGTATCCGTAGGGGTGGGGCATTTTGGAAGAAGAAGATGATGAGGTGGTTTTTTATGCCAATTTCCTTTTCTTTTCTTTTTAATTTGTTTAAATATAATTTATATTTTTTCATTTTATTTGTTTAAATTTAAATATTATTAGAAAAACATGAGTAGTTTAATTGTTTAATGAGTGTTGATTCAGAAGGGCAATTATGTCCTTTCACACACAAAATATAAAAAAATCGCACAAGTAATCGCACACACAACGAGTGAATGACACGCACAAAGGTTAGAGGGGGTGTATGGCTTTGACTATTGATTACAGGGGGTCTGTGCCACTTTTTTTATCACAGAGGTTTTTTTTGCATTTAACTCCTTTTTTTATTACAAATACTTCGCAAAAATATTTTCACTTCATTTAGACTAAGCGGATATATGCAAGTCCAGTAATCACTTTATCCAAGACCACCAATGTAAAAATGTTAATTTACCCTTAATGAAATTCAAGACCAAATTAATAAAATTAAAAAAAAAAAGAAAAAAAAAAAGAAAAAAACAACTCATTTCTTTTGTGCAAGTCCAAATAAAATAAGGCGGCGGATATATGCAAGCCCATTTCTTTATTAGTCAAGACCTTCAACATATATATACTAATTTACCCTTAATGATATTCAAAACCAAATAAAAAACATAAATCATAAAAAAATAAATAAAAAAAATCATCGTTACAACGCCGATTTTGACTTGTAAAGTCGGCGTTGTGTCGCCGATTTGGTTAACAAAAATCGGCATTGTGACGCCGATTTTCGTGTACAAAACCAGTCTGGATAAATCGATTTGGGAAACCAACGAAAACACACAAAAAAATCAATATCGATATCATTTTTTTTCCAAAATCGGCTAAAGCATTGCAACCCAACAAGAAGTAAACATAGATTAATGTTCATCCACGCATATTTATCAAGAATTGATGCTCAATTAATGTTTTCGAATTGACAAACAAAAATTTAGTAAAAAGAACTTGTTGGTGGTGGTGGCGTGGTGGTGATGGTGCGGTGGAAGTGGTGCGGTGGGTGGGTCACTGGTCGTCGCCGGTGCGGTGGAAGTTTCGCTGATCGGTGTCTCGGCGGTCTGGTGGCGGCAGTTGTGAGTTTTTTTTTTTTTTTTTTTGTTAATTTTTTTTTTAGTCTTGTACAAATTAAAAATAGAGTTTGTTTGTATTTGGTATTATTTATTGATAACGGTATATTCGTCATGTTTGGCCTTAATGTAATAAAATTAAATTAATTGACGGGCTTGAACTAATAAATTCCTTTATGTGGGTTTGAACTAATAAAAAAATGGACTTGCATATATCCTCCACCATAAAATAAACCTACAAACACCCCCATTATTTCACAATTCAAATATCTTCTTCTTCTTCACAAACCCACCAAGAACCCTAAACCCCAAAACAATCAAATAATCACCAAACATTCATAATGGAGTCGGAAAACAAGGAGATGGTGGTTTATGAGGGGGTAAAACGTAATCAGATATGTGTAAACCGTTTATTTTAACTTGTGTGTCGTTTTTTTTTTTTTTTGAAAAAAAAAATCACTGATACCAAAAATCAGTATTCACAGTCCGATTTTTTCAAAAATAATCGGTATTCACGTGCCGATTTTACAAACAAAAATCGGTAGTACAGTGCCGATTTTTCCAAAAAAAAATCGGTCTGAATGTGCCGACATTATAAAAAAAATTGGCGCGTACACACCGTTTTCCAAGCTCCAGTTTCAATCTCAAAATTTAATCCTAAATCGACCAAACCACTGCAACCCAGCAAGAAGTAAGCATCGATTAATATTCATCACGCATATTTATCAAGGAATCAATGCTCGTTTGCAAGGAATCAATGCTCGATTAATGTTTTCGAATTTACCACAACAAGTTTAGTACAAAAAGTGGTGGGTTGGTGGTGGTGGTGTGGAAGTGGGTGGGTTGAATGTCGGCGCCGTTGTGGTGGCGATATCCCTGGTCGGTGTTGCGGCGTTGGTGCGGCGGCGTTCGTGTAGCGGCGATGGGTCGGACATTTTTGTTTTTTTTGTTTTCTTGGTTGAGCTTTGTAGAGTGTGGCCCAAATATATTGTTTGTGAATGGCCCATTCATCAATCCATCTTGCAACCCGTTTACGAGAGCAGCCCACACAATTTGGAGCCCAAAATTAAAGTCAGTCCAATCTCACCTTGGCTTTCCCATTCTCTCTCTTCACCGTTTTATCACTCTCGTTTTCTTTTTCAGCATATTCGTTTTCAAATCTTCCCCTTTATCTCTCAACAAATCTTTCTTCTTATCCTCAACAAATTTTGGTGATTTGTTGCCTGATTCTTCGTGAGTTTGATGGAGGATTTGGGCGTATAAGTGCACCCTATTCCTTTTCTGTGTGGGGGACGAAAAATAGAGACGAGAAAGAGGAGAATACTTCGTGTATTTTGAGAGGAAAAATTAGAGTGAAAGAGAGAACTTTTTTTTAGAAGAAAAGCTCAATTATTTTCGGTGAATTCGAGCTTACTTCTTTAGGGATAAACCGGTGAGATTAGGGTTTGAATTTAGGTTTCGTTTTTTCCCTCGTTTTTCCGTTGGAATACACTGTGTGTGTATGCGTGTGTGTGGCTGCCGTAAGTGATAGGAGGCCCTACATGGATCTTGAACGCGGACTCGGAGATTGAGGGCTGAGCCGGAAAATCGAACTGATACGTGCATAATTTTATTAGTGAAATAAGTTAGTCAAATATAATTATTTCTTATGTGTGCGTAAATCATTATGCAAGCATTTTAGTTAGTGGGCTAATTAGTAAGGTAATTTGGTTAGTTAATGGGTTAGTGATGTGGTAGTTATTTGTAGTATTATAAATACATAGTAATTGGCAAAGTAACGGGATATTCAAATTATTGAAATCAATATTCTCTTGTCATTTATCTCCTCGATTCTTATTCTATCTTCTCTAATTCTCTTAATTCACATCTCTCAATTTCTTCTTAATTCTCAAACTATGTTTTCTTGCTCAAATTACCACGTAACACGAACCCTCGCCGGAGCAATCGTCGGAGGATTTATTTCCTGCAAATCTATGTGATTTGCTTCTGGTTCTTCTATTCTAATCCTACGAATTATGTTCTGCAAATTAATTTAAGATTTATTTATTGATTCACATATATTTAATTATTGTTGAATATTGTCTAAAGTAGTTAATATGTTTTATTAGGAATTCTAAGCTTATCATTATCGTGCATTTTTTATATTATTATTTATTTTGATTGTCTCCAAATAAAATATGAGTATTTTGATTTTGTGTTGTTTTTCTTCTCCGGCCGGATACTCTACAGTTCTGAACAAATTAAAAATAGCAATATAGGGTTTATCTTTGTATTTGTGGGTGAGGGCATACTCGTCCTCTTTGGTTTTGATATAAGAAAATTAGATAAATTTGTGTGCTTGAACTAAGGAACTCTTTTATGTGTGTTTGAACAAAGAAAAAATTGGGCTTGCATATATCCGCCGTCGTTTTGT